AAGTGTGTGGGTTCGAAAAAAATATCGCTATGCTCAGAAAACGAAGCTCTTTCAGATGATATATAAAAACCGATATATTTTTCAAAATTAAAGAACCCAATTCCTAGACCGGACCGGGAATCGAACCCAGTCACCTCCAGCATGGTCTTGCTTTGTAGCTGCGCCTTTACCGACTGAGCTTTATTTTGTTACACACAAACATACACCTGATCTCGTCAAAATAAGTGGATTGGTTAGTACATGACAGTCGGTCATAAGTCGTTTTACCAAGAAGGGTAAAAAAAACTTTAATAGCAAAAAACTAACGCCTGTTGATATTTTTTCATAAAAATCTAGTGGAAAACTTATATATAATAGTAACTTTTCTGCAATTTTAAAGTTGGACACGCTTTGATAAAAATTACAGTTCAAAGCTATTTTAGCCCATAAAAAACTATTATACAATCATTCAAAAAACCGGACAGCCTGAAATCCGTTTATTATTCTAGCACATTTTGAGATTTCCTAAAAAAAAACTGGAAAAAGATATCCAAAATCTATGAAAAGGTTTTTAGGTTTAGGTTTTTGATTAAATTTACATGTAAAAACATTTTTTATCTGATCACGAAATAAAGTGAGACTCGAAACAAAACTGAAAGCTTGATTTTTGCGATTTTTTTAAGCCGAACTTATGACATAGGGTTACGGTATGTAATGTGGGTCTAGTCCTTTCATTCGGCCTATCACGCAAATAAATAATTAATTAAGGAATATTACACAAAAAATAAGGAAAATATTGATCACTGATGGTTGATAAATGTGTACCACACACAAATCAATTTATATCACAACATTTCAATACATTTTCAGCTCTCGTAAGTAATAAAACTGGTTGAGAATATCACAATGTTCGGAGTTTTTAGCCGCCATGACTTATAAGGTTAAGATGGGAAGGTTGACTGACGATCATCAAATGGCCTGATTATGGCATTTATTGATTGGAATTACCTGATAATACACACTAGACGTAAAACTTACAGTTGCTGTTTGAATATTTTATGTTTATTTTAATTGTTTAACAACGTTTTCACAAGTAAAACATGGACCCAACTTTAGGGACACATTTCTTTTCTATGTTCCTAACTATGGCCCATGAAATTCATTTGACAGCATATAGCAATAAGAGTAACGTCAACAATGTTGTTTTGCATTTGGATGATAAGGAACGAACAGGAAGGGAGATTTTTTCTGCCAAACCTGTATAATGAACATCACAATGTTCTGATTTAGATATTCTGCGGTCAAAAGACGATAAGCGAAATTTTTAATTTTTAATTTTTAAATTGAGTGATTTAATGTAGTTTTCGTAAAATTTTCTCTAAGAAATGTTTTGAGGAATGAAGAGCATTAAGTTAACAGTGATAGTGATAAAAAAAAATACATCAGAAAACGTTACCAAGAGCGTTTTTTTGAGGATCAAACAAGATAGGACGAAGTTGCATCCATAAATAGACCCAATTTGGGGACAATAGACCCATATTACATACATTTCCCTCGTGAGTTATTGTCTTAAAAAAAGTAAGTTTTTCAACTTTTCGTGGTTTCTGATAGCAAACGACATGATAAGCATATCTAAGCATACCATTTAGCAGTAGAATATCGTTTGCAGGTAAATTCATTGATGAGTTATGATTAAAAACGTAATCGATGGCTGCATATTAGACCGAGGTTAGGGACGTATACCCTAATGGCATAGAAAAAATGTTTTTACATTTATAATTTCTTTGAGTTGTTTTTTGTAGTTGTCGATATCATCATTAGAAGAAATATAAATTCCGAAATAGACCAAAATCATCAAAATGACCTAAAATTGATAAAAATGCCGAAATCTTAAGAATGCCAACATTGTTTGTAAGCTAGAAATTTTGACAATTTCCATGATTTAGAACTCTGTTTGAGAATGTATCGCAAATTGCAACTAAAAATTGTGATATAACCTAAGCTTAAGATTTTTTTTTATCAGTTCGTTAGTTTTGCGAGGGGTTTAATGTCCCTAATGTCGGCCTAAATGCAAGGTTGCAAATACTCATTTCAGCTAAAACAATGTTTTTTTTTTTAATTATGAAATAATTAGATGCTATGATCATATTTTGAATTGGTAAGATACAAGAAGAGGTTGCAAAGAATGTGTTTGACATATTAAACCTGTTTATTTCACTTCATGAAAGTCACAATCAGCTATTTTTCACACACTCACTCACTCACTGACTCATAGAAAGCAAAATTTACAGGTTTTATGTTCCAAACGCATACTGTGTAACCTCTTCTTGTAAGTTACAAGTAAAACATGTCATCATACCATCTTTTGGTTTTATTATTCCGAAAAACATTATTTTAGCTGAAATGAGTATTTGCAACCTTGCCTAAATGTCCTTACTATTGGACCCAGGCATAAATTTCGAGCGAATGCGATTTTTGACAATTTTTCACTAGCAACCAAAAATTTCTATTTGTATTGTTCTGATGACACAATGGTCTAAGATAAGTTGAAGAACGGGAGATTGTGATTGATAGGGCCCAATCTTTAGATCAATAGGTCAACATTAGAGCCATTTCCTCTACCTAACTAAAGTTACAATTAAAAATAAATTATTTTAAATATTTCTATAGAACTATCCAGAAGGCATTTGAAATCCAAGAATTATAAATCCCAATCCGTGGATTCGTCTTATAAATATGTAAATAGATTTGCAGTGTTAAGCTTTCAATCCACAGTAAAATATAAAGCTCCGAGGATGAAAAAAAAACAAATTCAAATTTCCGGAAAAATGTTCTATTATTAAATCTTAATCTTATATTTATTTAGAGATTTAAAAACTTTTGGTAGATTTCTGGTAATGTGTAGGGGAAACAGCCCTATTGTTGCGGTACTTTAGCAGCGTTAGAAGCTTATTGTTGTGTATGGAGACCTCCATACACAACAATAGGCTACTAACGCTGCTAACGTACCGCAACAATAGAGCTGTTTCCCCTATGCATTTTAGATCGCAGGCTCCCTGGGAAATATCTTAACTTGTTCCGAAGTGTCGTACAAATTCTCAAAACTACGTTTCTTTTTCGGAAAGACGTCTCGAGAAAACAGGAGGATACATAGTATCCAGTTTCCCAAATGTTCCAGTTAGTGGTGTACCTATAGTTGCGATATGGGTGTTATGTCGGAATAATGGTAGAAAACCAGATACATTTATTATTCATCATTCTAAAATAAGCTGGAGATGAACCAGCGTCTGGCTGAAAATCTCCTTAATAAAGACAACCAACCTATCCTAAAATAAAGTAGATTTGCTTAGTTTTAACTTTGCATGACCAAAAACGACGGAAATAATGATTTTTCCCTGAGATTTTCACTCCTTTGCACCTATAGTTGCGGTAGTGTACCTATAGTAGTGAAATCTTTTGAAACTAATGCATCCCACTAATATAGGAACCAAAGTCAGCAACTACCACAACTTCTGGAACAGTGTTCCTATTAATGAAGAGCGAGTTTTCGAAAAATGTATAAAATTTTATTAGAATGTAATCTTTTCTGTAGATTGACGGATAAAAATTGTATGCAGTTTTTAATAAATAAATTGTCTGAGTTCCTCCACTAGCAGCTCACCTACCCTGTAACGATGATTCTGAAAAAAAGATATAGCTTAACAATCCCGAGATTTCGACTTTATTTTGAAAATGTTTAGTGTAGCAGAAATGTGGTACTGAAATTTGGGTAATATTGGTGATTTGTTATTCAAATTTTACCTGAGAATGTATGTGCTCAAGATTTGACAGTTTTCCCAAGGACTTCGCTAATAGTTACGCCAATGCAATCATCCATGCGCTATTTGGCAAGACATAAAATTTATCTCACTGTACCCTGAGTAGGATATTATTGTCATTATTATTGTATCATGTAGCCCCGCATCAAATTGCAGCAACTATTCAAAAACAGACCCTTAACTTCTACTTTTTTTAGACTTGAAATGAGCAAACTTCTAATAAACGATTCACCAGGAGGACGGGCCTGGCGTAGTTGTTAGTATCCATGCCTTCCACACTGAAGGTCACGACTTCAAATCTCATACCAGTTTCAAGTCACGAATAACCTACTACCTACAAACATTTTTAAAATCTCTTTAGGGAAAATGGATGTAATGTCGGCCTAAATGCCATTAATTTGGATCTATACATAAATAGCGACCAAAAATATCTATTAGTACCGTCCCAATGACACGTTCATCTAGATAAAATTAATAAACATCAAATTTTTAGCGATGGGCCCAATCTTAGATCCATAGGCCAACATTAGAGCCATTTCCCCTATTAAAAAAAACTACTCCCAATACAATTACAAATTTTATTTATAATTTTAATCAACGTAATGTATTGACAAAATAATTTGAAGCTTTCGTGCATCGAAATAATTCTAGAGCTTTAAAAAAATGTGCCATTTGTCGTATCTCCGTTTAAAAGGAAAAACGTGTTTCTATCTGGAAGGATAATCGTAAAAAAATAAGCTACTGAAACTGTTGCTTAACTTTTGATGACATGCGTCTCTAATTTAGTTACGATACAATTATATGTTCACGCACTTAATGCTCATTAGTACTCCCATCCTACTGACAGTTAACAATCAAAACTATAACCACTATAATTGTATTCATAAACATATTCATTCCATAAACTCCTAGTGGATTTAAATCCGTAAGAGAAATGAAAATTCCACTGTAAACAAGATAATGTTATACGTTGTAATTGCATAAGCCAGGTTGAATTCGACTCGTCTCGCTAGAAAGACATACGGAACATGTCTCATGTTTCCCCATTCCGCTCAATTAGCAGCCGATAAAAAATGTGTTTCTCACTTTCTTTCTGCGTGAAGCAATACTCTTAACTATGATACAACAACGAAATAGAAATGAGTACACAAATAACACGTTTGTACCGGTGCAACGACCTTAACCTACACCTTCTGATCTCACCTTTATGCGCTGCTTCGTCAGCATCCAGTCAGATCAATGCGCTGTGCTTCACCGAAGGCTCCAGAAATAGCGCCGTATCCAAACCTGTTAATGAACAGCAGACAACAGGTTGTAAAATTCCGCCCACTGGCCCAATTGTACTTTCTTTTGTTCCCTCCTGCTAACTTCTATTTTCACTTCTTCAGCCAGGTTCTTCACTAATACAACCGATTTTGTTTGCACTAAAAATAGGTCAGCCACTCTTCACTAGGACTTGGTTTTGGTATGCACTTTTTTATGATGACACACAGAAAGGTATATTAATATCCGGAACACTTATTTGGCTCGAACAATTTTGGTCAGCAACGACATCGAGCTGCTTCACACTGGTAGCCCATGCGATCTTTTTATCGAAAATGCGCAACAGCCCCACACAACGGTTCACGATATCCGTGATATGTTTACAGTCCATGAAAGTTAGATACCAACTGACTCAACCCGGCTGGATGTGAAGCCGATTCAGCCCGCGCTGATGGCATGTACCGTTGGATCTTTCTTTCTCTTGGATATAATTTCTCTCCTTCCCATTCACACTCCCCGAACCACTGCAGTCTTCATATGCTTCCGTCCTGTTAAGCCACGGTTGCGTGCATACGATTGAAGCTTCGGCTTCTCGCGCGGTGGTGTAGTTCGTTTTCGTGCAGACACCTGTGGATCATTTCTTGATAGCGCACCCAATAGCCAACTAACAATGTCAACATGCTCGGAGTTCGCTTTTATATCGACTGTCATACGATCCAGTTTTTATGTAGCATCCATTGCGGAATCACTGTGGACATAATTACGATCTGCTCTGTTCGGAAGCTCACAGTTGGCTGACCAGGTGACCGTTACATTGACTTTTGAACCTTCCCAGTTTTCCCACCATTTGGTGCACATTTGAGGACCGGTTTGAAGCATTGTGATGGTCGTAGATAATGCAATGCTATTCATGCTACTGCAAGCTGCACAGAGAAAAAAGCAGCATAGTTTAACGCAAATTGTTGCAATTATGCTGTTGGGTATGTGACGTTCAAAGACACTGATCCACACTGATTGGCTGAGTTAGTCTTTTTACTACGACGCAGATATGAAATCTGTTCCATTTAGAATGAATTTTCGAACTTTTCGCTGTATACCTCCTATCATTGTCAACCTTCTACTTCTTCAAATCTAATTATCTTTTGATTGTTTTGTCACATGTCTTTATTTTACACTTGATAATTGTCCAAAATTTTTCGATGAGACGAAAATCTGGACAATTTGGTGGATTAATACTTTTCTCAATAAAATGCACATTATTTTGCCTGTAGCATTCAATGATATCCCTGCTGTAATGGCAGCTGGTTAAGTCGGGTCAGAACTTGACGGGACCTTCGTGTGACTGAATCAATGGCAAAATTTTCTTCTTGAGACATTCCTCCTTGTAAAGTTGTCCATTCATAGTCGCTCCAGTGATGAAAACCTTTGTTTTCTTGCCACAGCTGCAGATGCCTTGCCATATCATCAACTTGCGGGCAAATTTATCTGCCAAGACAAATTTGAACTTTCCCGGAGCAAGGCAAACATTTTGTTCCGGAATTTGTCCAAAGTTCATTTTTTGTAAGTTTCATCGTCCATCAAAATACATCCGTTATACTTGGCCAGATCATGCTCGAACAGCTTCTTTGAACGGTTTTTGGCAACCAGGTTTTGTATCACCGTCCTGTTGGGATGTTTGCTGGCACTACATTTATAGGGTATACGTCCCTAACCTCGGTCTAATATGCAGCCATCGATTACGTTTTTAATCATAACTCATCAATGAATTTACCTGCAAACGATATTCTACTGCTAAATGGTATGCTTAGATATGCTTATCATGTCGTTTGCTATCAGAAACCACGAAAAGTTGAAAAACTTACTTTTTTTAAGACAATAACTCACGAGGGAAATGTATGTAATATGGGTCTATTGTCCCCAAATTGGGTCTATTTATGGATGCAACTTCGTCCTATCTTGTTTGATCCTCAAAAAAACGCTCTTGGTAACGTTTTCTGATGTATTTTTTTTATCACTATCACTGTTAACTTAATGCTCTTCATTCCTCAAAACATTTCTTAGAGAAAATTTTACGAAAACTACATTAAATCACTCAATTTAAAAATTAAAAATTAAAAATTTCGCTTATCGTCTTTTGACCGCAGAATATCTAAATCAGAACATTGTGATGTTCATTATACAGGTTTGGCAGAAAAAATCTCCCTTCCTGTTCGTTCCTTATCATCCAAATGCAAAACAACATTGTTGACGTTACTCTTATTGCTATATGCTGTCAAATGAATTTCATGGGCCATAGTTAGGAACATAGAAAAGAAATGTGTCCCTAAAGTTGGGTCCATGTTTTACTTGTGAAAACGTTGTTAAACAATTAAAATAAACATAAAATATTCAAACAGCAACTGTAAGTTTTACGTCTAGTGTGTATTATCAGGTAATTCCAATCAATAAATGCCATAATCAGGCCATTTGATGATCGTCAGTCAACCTTCCCATCTTAACCTTATAAGTCATGGCGGCTAAAAACTCCGAACATTGTGATATTCTCAACCAGTTTTATTACTTACGAGAGCTGAAAATGTATTGAAATGTTGTGATATAAATTGATTTGTGTGTGGTACACATTTATCAACCATCAGTGATCAATATTTTCCTTATTTTTTGTGTAATATTCCTTAATTAATTATTTATTTGCGTGATAGGCCGAATGAAAGGACTAGACCCACATTACATACCGTAACCCTATGTTTGTTTTGTTTTGCGCGATCCAACGATTTCCCGGTATCGTTTAAGCATGGTATTTACAGTCGATTTTGAAAATTTGAGAACCTTTACGATCATTCCTCCTGACCGCATTGCGTTTTCAACCTGAGTGTGCAGAATTTGTTCACGTCTCTCGGGTTCCATCTTCGATAACTTTTGAATGTGTGTATGAATCCTATTAAAATGTTCACCACTGAATAAACAATCCTGCCAGAGTAAAACGCTGTCAACAGATGCTACGACAACTAGAGACGCAACAGTAATTAAAAAGAAGTGACCAAATACTAACTAGAACAGACTTTATATAGGTTTACTCAAGTTTTGTGAGTTTTTAATAACTACCAATTTCATTAATTTGATCAGGAGGCATGTAAGAAATGCAATCATTGTGTAATTTATAACATCAGGGTAATCTTGCACAAATTCAAAAACGTCGGCTTTCAACTTTGTTGAGAAGTTTCTAAGCCTGGACCATTTTTGTATTAGTATTATTTTGTGGCAAGTACAATCATACTATATGCTCAGGGATATCAGGGAATTCCAAGACCGGACTGAGAACTTGATTATGTGCAAAACGTAATTTAAAAAAGCTGTTTGTCTGTATTCCCACCTACTACGAGTTTCAAATGCATAATTATACTAAAAGAGTTCGGGTATTTTTTCGGAATGTAAATTTTTAGATATTTTCCTGAGCATGTTGAGGGCTGTTCATACGTATACAATTTTGAGAGGTTTAAGACCTCCCCTCCCCCGGCGTAAACAATCATTCTCATTTCTAGAAATGTGTGTTGGATCGTAGACAATCGGCAAACAATTTTTATTTATTTTTTCCATATTTTTCAGTGTAAATTTCATCCAAAAATAATTATTTATGCCCTAAAAATTTATGGAAAATTTACCTTCGATAGAACATTTAAAAACTAGCCTCAAAGCAAGGAGGGGCACCTATGATTTTGTTTGGAGTATATGAAAATGTTATTCTACCAGAGACATCATGAATCCTATACTAGTTTCAAGGGAATTCCGAAAACTTGGAAGCGTAGTCCAAGAAAATCCTGGTTCGAAGGTAATATTGGACAGAACATCTAGGGAAATTTCAGGATATTCTCAAATGAATGGGACGTGCAGGTATCCCGAAGTTATTTTATACAGAATTATTGAAAAAGATTTTAACGAATTCTAGTGAGAATTATAGAGAATATGAAGATAACTGTAGGATCAATACGAAGAATTGAAAGTAACTCTTAGGGTCTAACCATGTGCTCTTCATACGAGATGAACTAGCGAACGAGCTAAAAATCTCGCTAAAAAGCTTTAAAAAAAGTGCTCCTCAGGTTTGTTATGGTGGTTATTCATGGCTACTCCATGAGTAACCAGCTCGGCAGAACTTCAAGGGAATTCATATGAAAATTCAAGGAGACGTTGAAGAAAGCCATGAAAATAGATTTATGCAAATTCTTGCAATAATTTTGAAAAAAAGGATTGTAAAATGAATGTAATGATAGTGAAGACAGTCTTTGTGGAGTAAATTTTAGGGGAATTCTAGAATCTCAAAATTAATCTAGGGAACAGTGTTGGGAAAATATCAAAAAATCAAATCTCACCAACGCCCAAGATCACTCTTGATTTTCGTAGACTAAAATCAACAAGCAAACAACTGCGGTTGATTTTGCAAGCTGTGATATTGCAGCTCGGATTATCAAGCTAACAAAACTCACCGACTGCAAATCTCACCAAACTGTGGTGGGATTGAATTTAATGATTTTTGCTTTACACCCGAATGCAACTGAAACTTCCATAACGGCTTGCAGCAGTCCCTTCGCGTCTGCTATCGGTGAAGATTAAAAAGAGATAGCAAACTATGCTTTCTCTTTCTAAACAAACGATGTGCAATGGAATCATTTTTGTGTCGAGTCAACTCTCATGTTGATTTTTGCACATTGTGAATAGTTTCGCAATATCAAAGGAGCTTGTAAAATCAATATCAAAGATGATATTTTGTTCCAATGTCACGCGTGATATTGCGAGTGCATGAGAACGGAAAAATATCAATTCATTTCTGATTTTGCCAACACTGCTAGGGAATATTGAAAAGAACTCAGAAGAAATCATGGGTTGCTTCTAAGGAAATGTTTGAAGGTAGACATCAACTTAAGAAGCATGCCTCAAGTATTATGAGTAGACTTAACTGAAGGATTTCATTTGCAAAAAAATACCTATAATTAAATTTTCATCGACATTTCATGAAATTTACAACTAACGGGAAAATAAAGTCAAACCGATGATCGCAATGATGAGTATGGTAAAGAGTTTATAAAAACAAAAAAATATTTTTTTTCAAATCAGGTTTATAATTATAAAGTATTGTTTAATAGGGGAATTTACGTATTCTCGGCAACCTAAGCAGCGACCTTCTTTCTATAGCCTTTTTCTCTAAGGAACGCACACATATGCAGTATTGGTTTGTTTACAATCTTTTGCTGCCAGCTGCTCTAACAATTTCAGTCGAAAGAATTGTCAAAAACTGTTTTGAAACGCTTTTACAAAGCTCCAATCTTCTCTAGTGAGAGCGAGTATTGTCGGCAACCAGTTTTTCTTCGGCAACCGTTCCATTTGAACTGCATGTAAATCTGCTGTTCTATTATCGGCAACTCGAAATCAGCTATAATTTGTAGTGCGTGTGTTGCATTTCAAGAAAACCTTGCTAGATTGTTTTTTCTCAGTGGTAAAAATATAGTCAAATTGAAGCTGAAAGCATAAAGAATCGTTTGCATGCATTCAGCGAAGTGTTTTCGTAAGAAAATCCAGTGAAAATAGTGTTTCAATTTGTGTTGCCGAAAATAGTCTGTCATGCCGAAGCCGTCATTTCCCCTAATTAAAATACCAATAAAGCATTTTACAGGTTATAAGCCAGCTACAATTTCTGAAACAGCACGAAATGTTTTCCTTAGAGCATTCTCTAAACCCA